TAGCCTAAGGCTTTGAAATTCAAATTCCACTCTATTGCCTTAGCACACATATTTAAGGGTTATATTATGCTTAATATGATACTTCACTATAGGATATAGGGTCAAAACCACATGCATTACATAAATGTAATCTTTATAATCTTTGGCAAAGGCACAAAACTACTAAAGGCATTGTTATGATGTATTGCATAGCTCCCCACCATAACATCAATAAAGTGATTTGGTATTGGTGGAGTTTCCTTGTCTTAGGGATCAAACTACCTTAGTGGGTTGCCCTCTGCAAAATAAAAGCTTAACTTGGTCCACAAGTATATTGATTGATTTGAGTGGATGGGCAATAGGATTCATAATATATAATACACATTTTTCAGATTCAATTGCTTCACGGGGGAGTAATGTGAGGTCTTGTGTGTGTGTGTGTGTCTATATATATATATAGATACAACTAAGATTAGCAGCTAATCTTAGTGGCCACATCATCAATAACATCATCATTAGTCTTGGTAATCTTAATTTATCCTATTTGCCACTATACTTAGGGTCCTATCACTAGAGCCATGTAATAAATCATAGTTTATAAAAATACAAAGACAAAATAAAATAATAAATCAAATTATGGATAATTTAAAAAATATAATACTACAATAAGTATGCTAATATAACCACTTAAAAAAATATAGTAATAATCTAATTTGAATTTCGTAGACAAGCTTTATAAACTTATGAGCTGGTACTTAATATAGTCTCTTTCACTATAAAAAAAAGTTTGATATACCATTTGTGTATTAAAGAATTTGGAAAACAAACTAAATTTGTTCTCTACATGCTCAATATGTTGTAATGTTGTTATTGTCTCAGTTTATCTAAACACTCTATAGAAATGGATAACTTGCAAAGCTCAATCCAATTAATACCCCAATCTCTAGATATTGTTGAGTGATTGGCATCAAACCCACAACAAAAGAACTTCAACTTTAAATTATGTGGCTATCAAATATGTGCCAGAAAAAGCCAAAGATACAATTGTACTTCCATGTGGCAGCTGATAGGGAAAGTGATAGGATGGCAGTTAGCCAAGTGGAAGAATTTTAAGATTTTAAGAGGTGAGTAGAGAGAATTAAGGTGCTGGTCTTCTAGGGGGTATGGCTTAATGCAAAATCACATTCATAGGACAATGGGAGAATATTAGGAATCTGGATATGAGAATCTCACGCAAGGACATCATCAAGCAGTAAGGGAATCTTGAGCCTGGAAGAAAATAAAAGGTGAGAGTTTAAATTTAGGGGTCGGCCAAGCTTCACCCCTTAGACAACCATAGTTTCCACCTTAGAGAGGAGAGAGTGTTCCTAGTGAGGTATCTCTTTAGGCTCGAGATTGGATGTGGAAACAGGGTGCTCCCAAGCTTTTTATAGTCAATCACAAGCTGTAGCAGCCCAACACAATCTGGATGGACAAAGAAGCTTGTCACTTTTCTTTGTGATCTGGGTTGTGGGATCTCTTTATTATGATTGCAGATGGCTAGTGTTCTCAGGGATGATAGGAGCTGGAGTGTGGAGGCTGCAGCATCCTTGTTACTAGAAGGGCTTGGGAGCTGCTGCAGCCATACTAGACAAGTTTAGAGGCAAGTGGGTGAGAGGTTGGTGAAGATAGGGCTCAAGCCAGACTATGGACCATTTGTTGCAAGCACATTGCACAAACCAAATGGCATAATTGTGTTTTAAAGTAATCTTCATTAGCCACTAGAGTGAAGATCTAGCTTATAACAGAAATGAGCTCTAGCGCATAAAACAAACTTTACAAATTGGATATTCATTTGGATATAGCTACATTCTTAATCATTAAGTTTATTTGCAAGAACCAAAACTGTCGCAAATCTGATTTAGCTGCGAGCTCTATTGTTGCCTCTGTCCTAGTTGGCCACATCTTGGCATCTATGGCGCCTAAACCACCATGTTAAGTGGCTTTACAATAAAACGCCACACAAGTTCAGAAAGCCACAATCTTTGGCTCATTGTGGGAGAGAGTTTTTAGTTTAAGGAAAAACCTGGTAGAAAACTTGAAAGAAGACAAAGATCCTTAAAGACGAGAAAGATAACTCAAATGTATGTAAAATATCAGTGAGTGGTGCAGCTATAGATGCATAATTTGCAACAAATTTACACAGATAATTATAGAGGCCAAGGAAAGAACTTAGATGCTTAATCAACTAAGGTTCTGGCTAGTTGGAGATTTCTTGGCACTTATCAAGGACTTGAAGAGTCTTCTCCAAGAGGCACAAATGTGGTATATATCATCAGAAACTATAAATCTTGTCATTGCATTATAAATGCACCACATTTTTGTGTTTTTGATGAGTTATGAAATCATAACTACATAGTTTAAGCAAACAAAGTGTTTGACTTTTAGAAATTTTGTTTTGGATTGCAGATGCATATACGTAGCATTCACTGCAGAAAAGCGGTGAGACTTGGCACAATGAAGTCAGATGTAGGGCTCAGACCAGCAAGGAAGCCCTCACCACTGCTTGCTGCCCACTGTGATTGCTTGGGGAGCTGATCAACGAGTGCCTACAGGAAATCTCCATCACTATCATGCCGCAAGCTTGCAACTTAGAGGAGCTCCGATCTCTAGCGGATCCTGCTGATGCCGCATGTGAAGAGAAAGAAGTGGAGGGCAGTGCTCAAGCTCATGTGCGCCGGGCGGAGTGGAGCCATTGTGTATACACAATCATGCCAATCATATTGGAGCAGGGCATGGAGCTGGTAGACAGATTATGTGGTAGTGGCAAGGGTAGTTTGAGAATTGAAAGTGAGCATGGAGCTCAATGGTGAGCTTCTACACCAAGTCTCCTACATTTGTAGCTCTGTAAAGGAGATACTATTTTGAAGACCCTATCCATTGTGTTTTCTTTGAACTTTCCAACGTGAGCATTACAAAGTTGAAATAAAGGTACAAAAGGTCTAAACTCTTAGTATGAAAATGAAATCTAAGCACATATTTTGATCATTTTTATTAAGATATAAATTTTCATAAATAAGTCAATTAACTATTTGGGAGAAATGCAAGTAGACTTATGTGTCATAGACATATGAGGAAAGTGCAGATATAATTTCATTTCAAATGTTGCAGGTGCATATATAATTTACAATCATTCCTTTAAGCCATCAATATAGCCATCTGTTTTAGGATGATAAGAAGACACAAAGGACTATTGAAGGTTGAGCCATTGTATTAACACTTTAATAACACTAGAACCCAGGTTAGGATTTTGATTCACTCTCTGTTGCAAAACCTACCATTTGAATAAGGAATTGTGCAATCAAATTAACTAGTACATCTGGCAAACACAGACTTCAATCCACCAAGTGAGGAAATTAGAGCTAATAATTCTAAGAAAAGCACCATCAAGTTTTATATAACCAATTCAAATGGATAGGAAACTTGTACACATCTTGATATTATATGCAAACCTTTATAATATCAGATATAGAATTACCATGGAAGACATATATAAATATTAATTGATGTAGCATGTTGGTGCTAGTGAACAATATCACTTATCACCATCATTAACATGTATCCTCTAAGATCAATGAGCACCATTTAGTGTTCAACCAAAACTTATAATCTTCCAAAATACATCTTATAATTATGTATTATTATTTGATAAAGAAAACAATAAAGAAACACCAGAGCCACCCAGTCTTTGCATCCAAAAGATGTTTGTACCACCCACCAACCAAAGAACTTACCCTTAATGGTCTAGTCTCTCACTTCCCATCCAAAAGATGTTTATACCACCCACCAACCAAAGAACCTACCCTTAATGATCTAGTCTCTCACTCCATGCATTCTTGTGCTCTCAACTTGAATTCTTGTGCTCTAGCAAGCATTCAATTGGCAATCTTCCATGGATTCTTCTCTTGCAAATTTGAAGACCTCTCACTTCAAAGAATACTCTGTTGGAGACAATTAACATGATCCAAAAGCTATTGCCATGAGACTTTCGCATTAAAGTCACAATCCAGGACTACTAACCGGCTGTGGGACGAAGTTCAAAGGCCATCCAGGCCTCCTAGAAATCACTTACCCTTGGACTTAGTATAAAGCTATGCCGGCCCTAAGGGTTTAGGGCTTAGGGCTTTTCGGCTATGGCGTCACGTGTTCTTGGGCGACGCCTCGGAAGCTATGCCGTTGCGAGATTTCTTCCCGCAGTGGCAGCTCCCAGGCACTCGCTCGCCCTCACCCGTTCCATCCCGCTCGCAGCGCTAGCATCGTCATCGTCAGCCCGAGCTTTTGGCTCCAAATCCTCTTCCGGCGACAGTGGCCTCTTGAAGGTTCTCAAGTCGGAGATTGAGCACGAGAAAGGCGAGAACGAAGGCGGGGTGAGCAAACTGTTTTGTCTTCGGTGCGTTATCTTTCCTTGTGTTCTTGCTCTAGGATATCAAGGTGAAGCCACCGTCGCCTTTCACGCTCCACAACGAGAGCGGGAGGCAAGAGGTGATCCTCCGCCGCTCCTACAACTCGGAGGACATCGCAGTGACGTGCCTGTTCCGCGTCTCGCCTTACGATGAGCCGGAGGAGGAAGAGGAGAGCGAGGAGGACGAGCCCGACACTCCAGTTTCCCAGGAGGAGATCCATATGGTGGTCACCATCGCCAAGGGAGGCGATGGCCCGTCGCTGGAGATAAGCTGTACGTGCTCGCAGGGCGAGATCGAGATCGAGAAGATCTCGTATCTGGATGACGAGTCGAGCAAGGACGACGAGCTTGCTTACACCGGCCCAGTCTTCGGGTAAGTCCCTCGATCTTGGTGATCTTGGTCGTTTGATCTGCTGCGAACGTTTTCGTTTCCAGGGAATTGGATGAGAACCTCCAGAAGCAGTTTACCAAGTACCTGGAGGCCCGAGGCATCAACGAGGAGCTGTGTAACTTCCTTGTCAACTACATGCCGGAGAAGGAACGCCAGGAGTACATTCGTTGGCTGGAGAAGATTGAGAAGTTCGTGAAAAAGGAGGCCAAGTAGTATCATAGCGCTCACCGTATGAAACAGATTTTCTTAGGTAGTTCTTGCCTGATTTTTGTTGTTCTTAAGAAAGAGGGCGACGCTGAGGATCCAGCTCCACGCTCTCTAGTTGGAGGCTGGGCGAGGTCGGAAGTTGTTGCTCGGCTTTGAGTTCCATCTCTTGGAGAGCTCTCCGGCCGTAGGCCGTGAGTGAGACCCCGGCTGCCAGTGCCACGCAGAAGCCCACGACGTTGTAAGTGATCTCCACAGCGTTCATGTGTCGCTTGGCGTGCTTGGCGTCGGCCAAACTCTTGAGTAGCCTCCCACTGCGAAGAAAAGCTTGTTAGATCCTCCACACGTAAACGAAAAGTGAGAGCTTTTTACCTGTAGATGGTGATGAAGGCTTCTGGGACCATTCCAGCGATGGAGCCGGCGATGTAAGGCCAGAACTCGATGTTGGTCGCGGCGATGGCGTAGTTGAAGAGCGTGTAAGGGATCGGGGCGACTCGGAGGAGCGTCACAGTGCGGAACTGGTGGAACCAGCCACCGGATTCAGCAGCTCTCAGCACGGCAGCCTTTCGTGGCCACTTTGAAAGCCATTCCTGCCAAGGGAAGCCAAAGCCAGGAAAGTTTAGATCAATCGAAAGATAATGAAAAACAGTGCTTGACAAAGACGAAGGAGCAAACAGAAGAAATGAAATGGTTGCTTACTTGGATGCGGTGATGGAAGAGGTAGTGGCCGACGAAGTATGGGAGCGTTTGGCCGATGGTCGTGCCAACCATGATGATAATGAAGCCGATTCCATATCCAAAGATGATGCCGGACAACCACATCGGGGGCCCGGATGGAATGAGCAAGACCGGGAAGATGGAGAGAGCCGCCATGAGCACCAGGGCCAGCTGATGCCGCTTGAATCGTGACGCTACCCACACCAGCACCGGGATTACGATCTGGCGAGAGGAGAAAGAAGAGGCTTTAGAAGAAATTTCCCCTGCCGTGAGAGAAGAAGACCGAAATTTCGGGCCGGATCGACCGTAGGACTCGGTCGATGGATGAGACTGACCTTGTCGAGCAGCAGCGGCAGGATCCAGATCGCAAACACGATGCTTAGAGCCACGCCCAGAGCGGCGATTCCGATGATCTTGATCCACCGCCATTTCGTCTTCCTATGTCTGGGCAGCAGCGGTGCGGGCACCAGATCCACGACCTCGAATTCGTCGATCTCAGCCTCTTCCATCCGCCGGGCCTCCCCCATTCTTTCTTCTCGGGGAGTGGTTCTTGGAAGAACCCTAAAAAATATTTCTCTGGAAGGAACTAGATGGTGATTCTTTCGCCGCCTTCCTGCTGCGATTACCAATGCGGCAGACGCATCGCCTTGCTCGCCGCCACAGCTGCCGCGGCATCGTCGACTCTTGCCGCCTCCGCCACTCCTTCGATCGATCTTGTTGACACGAGCATCACCGATCGAGTGTTCTTCAATCTGGGGCTATGCCAGAGCAGCAACACGCCCGCGGGGGGCCGGCCGGCGTGCAGCGATTCCGATTCGCAGCCCCTTGGCCGTGTCGTGATCGGCCTCTACGGCAATCAAGTGCCACACACAACCCGATTGATCAAGGCCATGGCCACCGGCGCGGCGGGGAGCTCCTACCAAGGCACGGTCTTCCACAAGGTGATCCAGGGCCGCTACATCCAAGCCGGGCACCAGGGATCCAAAGAGAAGGGCGAGGTTTCTCCGCCATCGCCAGATTATCTGGAATCCAACCCCGACACGGTCAGTCCCAGATCTTTCCTCCTCCGCCACAGCCGCCCAGGAACGGTGTCGCTGTGCCTGGCCGAGAACGACGACGACGAATCCATCCGGCTCAATCCGGATTATCGCAACGTCCAGTTCATGATCACCACAGGCACGATAATCTTCTTCTCTTCCTTTCATTGAGATCGATCTTGCATGGCTTCTCGGTTTCTTTGCTCTTGTGTTCTTTGCCAGGCCCAGGCCCAGCTCCCGACCTGGACAATCGAAACATCGTGTTTGGAACTGTTCTTCAAGGTAAAAACTCCTCTCTCTTTTTCTCTCTCTCTAGGAGATCTCTTGGGCTCGGTGAGGTGGCAATTTTCTTTGCAGGGATTGATATCGTGGCATCGATCGCAGCCATGCCGACTTTCAAACCCAGCGACCGAGTCCGCGAGTTTAACAACATCGCCCAGATCTTGGGCGACGTCCGTGCTAGCAATGCCAGGAGTTCTTGGTACAGGCCCGTCAAGCCTGTGCTCATCACTAGCTGTGGAGAGGAACTCCAATAAGAGTTTCAATCAACAGAGCTCTCTCGATGTTTGACACACGAGTACTTTGAGGTGAACTGCTAGCTCCCAGCCCTTCCGCCAGCTCGCTCGAGAACTTTGCAGCTTTGGTCCACCATTCCAGCTCTTCTATACACGTTGGCCATGACAACGTAGGCTCCAGCGTCCCTGTCGTTCAGCTTGATCATCGACTCGAACGCCATCTCCGCGATGCTCACGTTTCTCCACTTCTCCGACGCTCCCAGCACCGAGGCCCACACTGTGGAGTCGGGCTCGAAAGGCATCCTCTCCACCACCGCCACCGCCTCGTCCAGATGGTTTCCACGGCCCAGGAGATCCACCAGGCAGGTGTAGTGCAACATGTTTGGAGAGATCCCGAACTTGGTGCTCATGAGCTCGAAGAACTCCCGGCCTTTGTCGACCAGCCCCGCGTGGCTGCAAGCCGTGAGCAGCGAGAAGAAAGTCACGCCATTCACTTGGACACGCTCGCGCAGCATTTGCTCGAAGAGATCCAACACGCTGCTCGTGTCTCCCGCGTGGCTGTGAGCTTCCAGCAGCGAGTTCCAAGTCACCAGATCCTTGCTGCCTCGATCCATGGAGTGGAAGACTTGGCGAGCTTCGTCCACGCTCCCGCACTTGCCATAGAAGCTGACGAGCGAGCTCCCAACGACGGGGTCGTGCCTGTGGACTGATCCAATCTCCTTGGCGTGGATCTTCCTCCCGGTTTCCAGGTCCCCCAGGCTTCCACAGGCCTTGAGCACCGCGGCAAAAGTTAGAGTGTCAGCTCTCACGGTGCTCTCGCGTTTCATCCGGCAGAAGAGCTCCACTGCCAGCCTCGCATCGCCACTCTCGGCGTAGCCGAAGATGAGAGCGTTCCAGGACACGACCGTGCGGCTCGGCATCCTCTCAAACACCTCTCGAGCGCTTTGCAAGCTTCCACACTTGGCGTACATGTTGACGAGGCTGTTCGCCACCTTTGCCTCGAGCTCGCCTCCATGGCTCCTCTGGACGATTTGCGAGTGGATCTCCATTCCCTTTTCCAAGCACAGAGCTTTCACTCCATCGCTGCTACCATCGAAGCTTGCACAGGCCTTGAGAGCGGCCACGAAAGTCCGAGCATCCGGGACGACTGGAATCAACGCCATCTCCGAGAAGAGCTCTAGCGCAGCTCGGCCATCGCCACACTCGGCATAGCCAAGGATCATACAGTTCCAAGATACGAGATCTCGAGCAGCCATCCTATCGAAGACTCCCCTCATCTCCTCCAAGCTCCCACACTTGGCGTACATCCTCAGCAGCGAGTTTGCGACGAGCATCTCCATCTCGAGCCGGGATTTTGCTACTTGAGAGTGGAGGAGCTTGGCCTTTCGCAGCGACACCACTTTCACGACCTTCCCGGCTAGAAGCACGCCTCGTTCTCTCTCGGCACTCGTTGAGCAAGCCTTGAAAGCCGCGGCATAAGTCACGGAGTTGGGAGCGATCCCTTCGACTTGCATGAGCGATAGCAAGCGCAAAACCAGATCGAGCTCGCCAATCTCGCCATAGCCGGAGATGAGAGACGTCCACGAGATCACGTCGTGGTATTGCATTCGATCAAAAACTCGCTGCGCCTCTCGCAAGCTCCCACACTTTGCATACATATGGATCAAGGAATTGAGAAGTATCAAGTCCATCGCGAATCCTCTCCTCGCTACTGTCAAGTGAACGAACACTCCCTTGTCTAGAAACCACCGAAGATCATATGATACTCCAAGAAACTTTCCTTGAATCTGGTAAGCTTGGATGGTTTCTTCCAGTTCTTCTTTCTCGCTATGAATCTCCAAGCTTGCACAGAGAGCCTTGAGAACCGCGACGTAGCTGAGAGAATTGGGCTCTATGTTCCGCGATTGCATGGTCGAGAGCAGGTGAAGAGCCGAGTGGGCATCTCCAATCTGGGCATAGCCAAACATGAGAGAGTTCCACGACACAACGTCGTGGCTGGGCATTGAATCAAACACGCGGTGAGCATCCTCCAGGCTGCCACACTTTGCGTACATTCGGACCAGAGTGTTAGAGACTTTGGTGTGGAGCTCGCAGCTATGGCGGTGGAGGAGGAGGCTGGAGTGGAGTCTCTTACCAGCATCGAGGTCTCCATTGTTGCCGCATGCCTTGAGAGCCGAGATGATGGCGGTGATGGAAATGGTGGGCTTTGCTCCAGCCTCGCAAATCTCATCGCAGCTCGGCACTACTGTGTTCTCGTGCCACAGTGACATTTAAGATCTTGTTTTTTAGAGATGCCAAATGTAGGCAACAAATATAAGCATCTTTATAATTTATAAACACAAATTAATCTTACTGCATGTGTTTGGTATTGGTTTGTGCAATTTTTTAAAAAATATATAAAATAGTAATGTTAAGAAAATGTTATATAATGTTTTCCTTCTGATATATATATATATATATATATATAGACACACACACACACACACACTATAAAAGATAGTAAAACATTATTATATTCCCAAAGTGAAAAAGAGGTATAACTTAGTAAATATTATTAATAAAGATATTAGATGCAAAGCACTACTTAGGAATATATTTAGAATACTAAGATTTTAAGAAATCTAATACCCAACTCAATAAAAAGTAAAAAAAAAAAATTTGTTAAGTATAAATTAATTTTAGTTATTAGATGCAGAATATGAATATATTTAATACACTCCTAGATAAAATAAATTGCTACGCATTGCATGTAGCAACTCTTGGTTTGCTTAATAGTAACATTATTCTTACTTATTAATCCAATTGATCAAATAAAATTTATAATTATAAGCATGTCTATAATTTATAAGCACAAGATAAATCTTATTGCATATCAACCATTAGATGATAGAATAAAAAACAAATACTAGAAAGGGTTTAAGAAAGTTTATAAATTATAAAAATGTTTATAAATTATAAATACAAAATTAATCTAAATGAATAACAACCGTTAGATGGTAAAATATCCTAGAATATCTAAGCATATTCTAGGTATATTCACTACCATCTCAGTCCCCCTACAGATTTGCTTAAGAAAATTAAAAAGAAAAAGATAAAAACAAATTTTTTTAATTAAATATAAGATATAAACAAATTTAAAATACTAAGACATTAAGAAAATATGAGGTTTAAGTGTATAGCTACAATGCTATATACTAATATTAGTTTAGTGGGATTTTGATAGCCATCAAATTAATTTCAATATAGACTATTTACTTCTCTATATAAGTTAGAGTTTTTAAGCTAATTAAATATATATATTTCTGTATTTTATGCACTCCTATTGGTGGAGTTGAAGGGTAGTTCTATTTCAAGTGCTTAATTTTATGCTTTTGGTTTAAATCTAACTTTTGCATTGTTTAGACTTTTGTTTTTATTCTTGTAGTTTTTTTTTTCTATTTCTTCTTTTTTCCTTTTTTTCTTTCTGTTCTTTTTCATGGCAAAGCAATAGCTTCATCCTCCTTTGATTTTGGAGCAATAATTAGTACAATTGTTCAATGTTATATAGTTATAATTGAATAATTAAACTTAATTGATAGTAGGCATTCATAGGGCATGTGCACCTCTTTTTGCTCTTGTTGCCAATCTTTGTGTTCGGTTGGAGTTCCTTTATGAGAAGTTTGAGGACAAAAGGTCAAATACGAATGAGAACATATATATTTGAAATAATAACTAACACTACCATTAATAAAAGTTAGAATAACCCAAGGAATTAAGGGTGTACTCAAAGGATGAGTTGATGTTCTCATTATATAGGAGGATAATTCAAAGGGGTGAAAACAGCACATATAACTTTACAATAATTGCCATTTATCATTTTTGGGATGATACTCTGTGTTTAAATAAGCTTTTCATATGTTTTGAAAGAAAAATATTGCAATGGTACAATGGTTTGAGTATAGCTACCATATGGATTGGAGTTTTTTTCTAAATGTTTTTAAACACATATTTGGATATACTAATGATTG